TATCATACAATTAAGTTTGAATGCTTTTGATATTAATTTATTTTTTCGATTGAGATGTAATTTTATAAGGCACAATGAAAACAGGAAAAATATCGGAGGGTTTAAGAGACCCTAAAAGTTTTTAGTTTTTATTGGCGCAATTTTTGAAAGAACAAAATATGGGAACCTTGGAATAGAGATAAAATACTACTATTTTAATTTTACAAAAATACTTGTTAGAGGAATTATCAGATTATAAAAAACAAAAGCAGCAATCAAAATGTTTGTAATTTTCGATGCTTTGTCCTATTTTCATCTGCCGAAACATGTTAGCGACAACTAGCTTACCGATTTTTTGGCGGGCATTAGAAAATTGGTCAATCGTGTTTTAAAGTGAATTTGTTTTTTATGAAATATCAGGAAAAATAAAAAAATTCGATTTTATTTATTTGCTAATAAAAACGAGACCAGAAGAAAAAACCGAAATTTAGAATTTTCCAAATAATAAGATGGTTTGTAGGTATAAACGTCAATTAAAACATAATTTTAAATTTATTTTTACATCATTATTTTTTTTATAAATACAGTTTATATGTTATGGTTTGTGCAAAAAACATGAAATTGATTTTATATCAATCTAAATATCATTTATTGATTTTTAATGACAAAAATACTCCAGAACTTTAAATAACTTTTATTGTAATTTATTGATTTCAAATTGTTTTTTTTTTCATATTTAAACGAAAAAACTGAAAAACAACAAATATGAAGCGCATTGAAACTGTTTTTATGATGAATGTGTCATTGTATTTCACAAACAAAGAAATTGTATTGAACTTTATTTGTGTTAACAAAAAGTGCTTTCTTTCAATAAGTTCTTTACATGTCAATCTTTCGTTTGCAAATGAAAAGTCTCTTGTGTGGTTTCTCGAACATTTCAAGGTAAATACAGTTGATCTTAATTTTCTTACAACACCAGAAACATTTCTTTCAGAAGCAAAACAAATACGAAACTTTATGTTAAAATCAAGAAAAGCCCCCAAAGATATATTAAAAATTGTGGAAAAATTTAAAATAGGAACAGAAGTTGATCGTAGTTTTGTCGAACTTCTTTGTGAGAGTATAGAACGACTCAGTTCCCTTTATTGTAAAATTGAATTTATCAAAATCTTTATTGAAACTTTTATTGAGCAAAATGTAGACATCGCATACTTTCCAAAATTTATTTACATTTCAAACGTACTAGATACAGCCGACGAAGACTTTGTATATCTTGAAAACATCTCAGTCAAATTTGGGTGCAAATTTATAATGTGTGTAGATAGACAACCACCATTTCCAACATGTAAACACAAAAACGTTTATTGTTTTGCAGAAACACTCATACTTGATAAAATTGGTGTGTTCAGTCCTTTGAGATGTGACACCACCATTATTGTTAATGAGAACACAACAAACGATAAATTGGACACAATTGAAAATCTGGCAAACGAATACTTAGTCACAAAACTTACGATGAAAACAGTGGACGGAAGTCGGAAAATAGTAAACAAGCTTCCTCAATTGCGAACAGTTGAAGTATTGATTCTTGACAATTTGAATGTTTTGTTGACAAATGAAATAAATACACAAACTATTTTTATTAAAAATACCACTTTTACGTTTAAGATACACAAAAGGTTTCAGTCTTAAATTGTAACAAATTTATTACATTACCATTTACAAGTGTTACGGACCTCACTTTGATAGAAATCAAGAAATTCACACTTCCACTTTTCGATAATTTAAAAAAACTGACAGTAAAAAAGTGCATAGCAAACATCTTTTTAATACCAGAAAAATGTTTTGGGGGTATTGATGTTGTGTATTCCAAACACAACACTTTTATATTTTACAACACAACAGGAAAACAAATCCACTTAAATGGAATTTCTCAAAATGTAATTCAAGTTGTTAATAAAACGCAAACTTTGCCTTCTTTTGTTATTAAAAATTGTAAAAAATTGAACATTTTGTGTGAAAAAATGTGGTACTTAGAGTTGGATACTAATAATGGCATTATTTCTCAATGTTTGACATCAATAGGTGAATTTGTAATAAACAATTCAAATTTTGTGTTTTACAATAAAGTTGAAATTGAAAACGTTATGTTTACCAATAACAGCAAAATGCTAAATTCATTGTTTGATATCAAAAAAAGTTTGGTGTTTGTTGATGTTGACAATTTCACGTTTGAAAGTGATGTGATATCATGTAATAACATTGGGATGTTTAATTGCAAAAACATTGAATTGAAGATTAAAGAAAATACTATCAAAGCTGTTTTTGTTAAATGTTGTGAAAACATCACAATAGATAACACGTTAAATACAATCGAAAATTTATACAATGTTAACAACAGTAACATGAAAGTGCCTGACTGTCTGTTAAAGTTGGGTGATGCAACTCAGAAAGAAAATGAAAATTTTGACCTTTTAAAAGAGCCAAACGAGTTTTACAAAATTCAATTCTTCGACGCTTTGATGCTCAAAAACGAATATAACAAAATCTTTGATTTTTCCTATGGTTTCATAGAGACATTGAAATTGTCGAATCTCAAAAATTGCTCTTTCCTTTCACTCAAATTGTGTTGTGTTCATCTTGTTATAGAAAATTGCTTAATGGATAAAAAATTCAAAATTGTTTCTGCAAATACAATTTCAATTATTAACAGTCAAAATGTACAAATAGGACTTTATGAGAATGTTGTTGATGAAGTTAATTGTGTCAACTCGGCCGTTTCACTTCGGATTTGTTTCGATGAACTTGAATATGTCAAGTGTTTAACTGAATATGTCAAAGTGTTGAAATTGACAAATTCCACATGTTTTTGTCGAAATTTCCAAGTTGGGAAAGTGTTTTTAGACTTGACAAATTACAAAGAAAATGATGAAAAGTGCTTTTGTTACAACACAAAGAAATTCCAAATCGAAAATTTTCACGACAAGAAAATTGAAATCAATCGAAATGGTGACGTTGACGAAATCAAATTTGTTTCGTGTGATAATTGTGAATTGAATTTTAAACTAATTTCAAATATTTCAATTACAACAGAAAATTGCAAAAATATGAAATTTTACATTCCAAAATTTTCAAAACACGAATTCAAAGAAACTCCAACAAACGAATTAGTTGAACTCGAAGTACCTACTTTTCAAAAACAAAAATTGTGTTATAACAACGAACAGTACAAAGAAGTGGATAACTTCGCATTTGCATTAAGTCACACCAACCAATTTAACAATTTCAACAAAAACCCACATCTGTACGAAGACTTAAAAACAATGTTTTATATGTATTTAGCACAAATTTTTATCTAACGACAACTCAACT